ACTCCCACACCCTTAGCAGTATTCACTCCTCGTGCTCAGCAAACACTAGCTGATCGACCTACTGAAGGCCCCCGCCCTTGATGAGTTCCCAAACAGAAGAGTCGGGAAGGCAGACAGCGAACTGACAGTACAGGGTAATAGCTGCTGCTACGAGATGAGAACTGAGACCACGGGAGCACAGGGAAGCCTGCTGAAGCACAGGAAGGCTTCACCGTCCATGGGACAGTGACCTAGGAGCTGAAAGATGAGCACGACTTTTGTCGCTGGAGGAAAAGTGATAGCGGGGGAATTTCCTGCAGAGAAAACAGCATGCCAACAGCAACGGATTGCTAATAATGACTATCTAGGCCTCACGATATGTCAGGTTCTATTCTACAGAATTAGCTCATCTATTCCTCATCACTTGAAGAAGTAGGCACTGTTTTTGTTCCAATTCCACAGCTGAGGAAGTGGAGGCTGATGGATCTCACTGCTGAAGCAGGTCGCCAAGCTTAACAGCCAATGCTGTTAATCTCACTGCTGTACCACAATGTCATGGAGCCACGAGCAAGTGCCACATCTACAGACCTGGGATGAGTATAGGTAAGTGTCCGGGTGAGGGACATGGTGAGGGAGCAGCAGGGGGTGAGGTCAGGTACGTGTGCAAGGGCAAGATGGTGAGGGAACGTGAACCCCAGTTGGGTTCATCCCCCAGGGGCTGGGGGGCCAAACCAAGCATTCAAGCCTATAAATGGCTTGATCAGTACTGCACTTTAGCACAATACCATGAGAGTGATGTGGAAGACGGGCAAGATTTGGGGGAGGCTGAAGACAGGGAGGCTACTTCAAAAGACAGAGCAAACACTAGGCCCTGAACGAGGCAGAGAGAGGAAGAATGGAGAGTAATAGGCAGATTTGAGAGATTCTTCTAGATATAATTGATGCAATATGGTGACGAATTAGGTCTGGGGCAGGGGGAAGAAAAGTAAAGGAGAAGACACCAAGTCCATAACTTGATATCACCAGTCATCCAATTTCCCATCCATCTGAGTAAATATTACACGGGGCTGGGTGACTGGGAGGGAGGAAAGCGGTGGCTTAGCCATGCCACTGTCGTGTTATCGTCTAACTGCTTTGTGCTCATAGGTCTCCTCACCCGGGCAAAACCATGATCTTTGCTAAGGCAGAAATGACGCATAAGTGTCTTGTGTCTACATGTCCACTCAGTGATCCCTTTAGTGCTGGATACAAAGGCAACCTAATACAATTCATCAAATACTGCTAAACACCAAAAGTGCACCAGATACTGTGCTCAAAAACATACCTGCCGACTAAAGGTAGAACTCATAAAAGAAAATATAAACAAGTTTTATTTCATGAAAGTTTTAAATATCTATAATGTACAGAAGAATGAAAACAAATGACTAATATAAATGTAAAAGTTTTGCTTCACTAGCCATCAAATAAATACAAGTGAGATACCTTTCTTGTCTATCAAAATTTCCAAGACTTTTAAAACACTCCTTGGAAAAAGACTGGTCCTTGCCTTAATTATTCACAACAGCACAGCCAGGAGGGCTGCCTAACCAGGAGCATAGCAAGAAAGGATCCTAAGACTTGGACTCGTTTTTACTGAACTATAACTAGCCTATGCTTTCAAATGTGCAGATATTCTCACTGAGGAACGCACGATCATCCCCATTTCAGAAACCAGAGCAGTGAAACCAAGAAACTTGCTTGTGGTTATACAATTAGTAAGTGGTGGAGCCCTAATTAAAACCCACATAGTTCTGGCTTCAAAGCCCAGGCGATGTGGAGTGAATATGTATTTTACAATTAAATGATTATTGAGGTACTAATCGCCCTTCTGTTATGAGAGCCAGCTTTGTGCAGGGGCAGAATGGGCCTTCCCCATACACAGTACCTCGAGGGGACAGTTGTATGTGCTGCGAAGGACCTTCCCTGGCTGCCATGGCATGAGCTTCTCCTCTTAGCTACTCAGAGATCCCCACTTTTAGGGTCACCACTGTGTAGGCCATAAGGATATTTTAAGTAACCTCTCAGTTTTCTCATATATAAAAATGGAAAATAAAATTGACCTCAAAAATCTGTTAAGAAAATTAGTTTTCACCCACAGAGTAAAGTTGACATGGCCTCAAAAGTTATCTTTCAAAAACACAAGCTCCACACTAGTAAATCCAATGAAGTGTTCAAAATCCACAGTACGTGGAAAGCCTGTCTTAACTAGTCAGTAGGAGGGTTCATTGCTCTCTCCATTGCTCTCTCCCTCTGTGCCGTAGTATGCCTTCCACAGGTCTGTTACTCTTCACATTGTAACATAAACATTCATTTACTTTCCATCCACTTTCCTATACTGTAAGCCACCTGAGAACCAAGTCAATGGTTCATATATCTTGTAATGCCAACGCCAAGCCCAGGGCTGGCATGTGGCAGAAAATGTTTTGTTTAAAAAAAAAAGTCCATCACTGCCTTCAGCTCAGGTCATGATCCTGGAGTGCCAGGATCGAGTCCCACATCAGGCTCCCTGCTCAGCGGGGAGTCTGCTTCTCCCTCTGATCCTCTTCCCTCTCATGCTCTCTGTCTCTCATTCTTTCTCAAATAAATAAATAAAATCTTTAAAAAAAAAAAAAAAAGTCCATCATTTTACCTTCATAAAATCCTGCCAGAGAATTATTATAATTTTCTGCATTCTAAAATGAGTGAGCTGCCGTGGCTGTCTAAAATCATACACAGGTGGTCAGGCTTGCACTGAATCCAGGTCTCCAGACTCTCCACTCCACCATGTATGGATTTTCAAAGACCAGAAGGGGAAAAGGCCTACCATAGGCCATTGAGACCATCACTGCACAAAGGTACTTTGTTTCTTAAATGTGGTAAGGATTCTGAATGGTATCAGGACATCTTAGAAAGTGGTCACCTGGGAAAGTACAGAGAACAGCACTAAAGTATAAGAAAAGCTGGCAGATCTGGGTCTAAGCCCACGCTCACTTCGACCTTAACCCTGTTGCCTTGGGCAAATCTCTTAAACTGAGGAGCCTCGACTTCCTCATCTGTAAAATGGGGTTTGAAACAACGTTACCTTGCAGGGTCTGATGTAAGAATGAGAGTTATATTTATATGAAATAGGCAGAAGATGTATTAAGGATTTCTTAAACCTTAGTTATCATTACATGTCAGAAAAAAAGTAGCACATATTAATGCCTATGCCACAGAGTAGTTTTCATCCCCTGTCTTACTTTATTCCCACAGCAGCCTGTGGGGTAGGTGCTATTACCTTGATCTTACATCGAGGAAACTGTGACTCAGAGACATTTAAGTAACTTGTCCAAGGCCACACAGGTGGCAATGGGCAGAACCTGCATTCAGACCTAGGTCTTTCTGAATCCAAACCTCTTTGAAGTTTACCTGTCTGCATCCCAGATGAATTTCAGTGGAGGAAAGATAAGGAGGACTCAGATGTGCCCCCAAATGTCTGAGGTCTATGTGAGGTGCTTGAAAAGATAGTCTGGATCAGATTCATGTGTAGCTTGGGGTAGGAGTTAAAAATGTTTGGAACATATGCAAGATAAGGCAGGGAGAAACCCAAAGAAGATGGCCAATGATAAATGTCATGCTCCTCAATTTCCCTTTCAGCTAATAATGTAATAAATAGTAAAGAATGACTCCTACTCTTATTTCAGTCCTTACGCTAAGAGTCTCCAAGGTGAAAATCCCATGCTGTAATACCGATGTGTTACGTATTTCCTCTTGATCTTGCTACCATTTGTTATGTCCCAGGAAATGTTCCAAAACCAAAGAGAGGAAGTTCAGAAAAGTCACAGGAAATATCTGACCTCCTTTACTCTAAGGAAAAAAAAAACACCCCTTCTCCTAGGTTAGTCTCTTATTTATATCATTAACACCAAGGCATGGTGTAAGATGACACAGCTAACTAGTATAACAGGAGATAGCTTCAAATCATCCTGCAGAGAAACAAATGCTATTTCACAAGAAACAACAACAAAAATCCTTTTCTGGTGTTTTCCTCTATCACACACAGCTCCCCCAACCTTGGAACAAACAAGGCTTTGCACCCTCCAGTCAAGGCCCAGGAAACCTTCAGGCCCTGAATGTTTATGATTCAGGCAGTCAGGAGTCAGGCAGGTTAGGCACGAGGAGAGACAGGAGTGAGAAAAATGAAAACAAAAAACAATAAAACACCTCTCCCTGCGGAATGAGAAGTTCTCAAGTGAGGCACGGACCCCACATCCTTCCACCTGACACCACAAAGGTGTAAACCCAGAACGATGCTTGGTCCAGGCTAAGAAACCAGACTTGGAGAAAGAAAACTCAACAAAGAAGGAGTGGTCCAGTGGACTCTAATATGGAGTGAAATCATTGGGTCTGTTCAAATGTATGAGCTTAAGGAGGGTCACAGATTCTCTACTAATAAAAACATCCTTCTGTGAACTTTTCCAAAGTAAAGTTAATGGCACGTAAAGCCAGCAGATCTCACAGAAAACTCATTCCTAAGGGACTACCTGTAAACTCAGAAGTTTCTGTCTTCACGAGATCAAATGTTCAATAGAACCCCCCCTCTGCTCACTCTCACGCCCATTCGAAGTGCTATATCCTCTACCACCAGTAACCCATGCCCAGACTCTTCATTCTCCTTGGCTCCTGAAAGGCCTCAGGCAACGGAGCCGCGGGACCCGCGGGAGCACCCCTCCCCTCCCTGCCATCCCCATTATTCGGCACACAGCCCTACTCTCCCCTGGAGCCAACAGTCTGCAGTTCCTTCAATGCAGGCGCGAGCAGGCAGGAATGGTGGGAAGAGAAGCTGTGTCAGCTGCATGTTTCAGAATCTCCCTCCATATGCATTTGCCAAAGGAACAAAAAGAAAATCAATGCCAGGAAAAGACAACTGAGATGAGGATGCGGTGGGACCGCGGCTGACTCCTTGCCTCTTAGCAGCAAGGGGCTGGCTACCACGCGTCCGAGCCACAGATCCCAGTCGTTACCTTCAGGATGCAGGCCATGGCGCTCCGCCGGCCCTTCTGCCACCGAGCAGCGGGCGCGCCTGGGTCAGGGGCAGTCCCGGCGACAGGCTGGAGGCTGGTACCGCGGCAGGACCGCTCCAGCCCACATTCCCGCAGATCCAAATAAGGGGACCGCCGTGCGAGCTGCGCGGGCACAGGCCCCGCCCCCCCGCGCCGCGGCCCCGCCCCCGAGCCCGTCCACTGGCTGGCGGCCCCCGAGGCCCCGCCCCCGGATTACGTGCCGTCCCGGTCTCCCGCGGCTGCCCCTGGATGCTTGCTACTTCTTTTCTCTGTCTCTCCCTTACTTTCCCCGCCCCCCCCCCCCCCGCAATAAACGTTCTGTGGTTCAACGTATACGAAATCTGCTCGGCGGCAGGCAGGAATCTGGGTCCTGCTGGGGAGAGAAAGCGGCCTTTCTTCTCGATTCGGTCTCCTCTAGCAGATCAGAGAACCCCTTGCAGACATTTCAGTTTTTAAAAAGTTAAGTGGGTTTGGAATCACCCTTCTACAGGCTTTGGGCGCATCAAAGGATTCTTCAAAAGTAGCAGATGAAATTCTCTCTGGGCTGTTTAACGATAGAGCCTTCGCTCTGCTTAAAACTGCTGTGATGGGCTCATCTAAAATTAATTATTTCCGCTAATAAGGGAGCACAAATACCTATCAAAAGATGCCAGGAAACTTATGCTACATGTTTTGTGTGTATGTACGCGTACATAGGCATGTATGCATTGCTTTCTTGCTTTCAGCTTGTGCGTTTATAAAAAAGGTGTGTATACATAAAAATACAGTAAATAGAATATATATACGAAAATTTAATATATTCTCATATATATACATTGATTATATATGTATATAAGTTATGGTTGTGCCCACAAGCACAGGACTTTGTTCTTCCCCCGCTACAAGTTTAGAATTTGAATGAACTTTGTTGCAACTTAAGTAACAAGGTTAAATCTAAACTTTCCTGTAGGGCTTGGAAATCCAGAAAGGCCATTCTTCACCATCCAACCTGAAGTCTCTGGTGATAAAACAAAGGGTGATAGAGCAGCTTTAAAAGGCAGGCAGCCTGGAAGAAGATATGTTTGGGGTCCTTTCCACCCCTCTTTAGCAGCCCTTTTGGAGTGAAAATCAACAAGGAAAGCCCAATTCCCAAGGGAGGAACTGGCTAAGAGAAACAGAGTTATTTCTCTGAGGAAACTGACATCACACACATAGCAGGAAGGGAGAGAGAGAGAGAGCATTCTGTATATATACACAGATTTCCACCACTTGGTCTGTCAGAGAAATCTTAAAACCAGGCCCCAAATATTTACCCAAAAGAGCTTTCACTTGCTAGAAGCCCTGTCTGGTTTGCCTACATGGAGTCAGGAAAAACACTGTGGGCTGCTGGTGGCTGTGACGTCATGAGACTGGCTCACAAACCACAAGGCAGAAACTAGACTTTCAAGGGATTTGGTGTTTTCTTGGTGAGAACATTCAGAATCCTGAGAGAACAGGAGGCACCACAGGAAAAGTGTTGCAAACCCTGAGAGTGGACGGACTACCTGCTCCCAGGGAAAGTCCCTCTTTTCAGTCTCCCTAAGGGCCCACTCCCTGCTCTCCCATCCGGCCCGTCTGTGTGCTTCAGAGATCTGCTATATTTTCAGTAAGAACTCTTTGATCAGTAAGTTCAGTAAGAGTATCCTCTATTTGGTTGATCAGGATTGTATATATTTTTTAGGACTGTATATTTTAAACCACTGCTTTAGCTCATGATCTTTAGTAAACCAGAAAAACTCAGTATTTTATTCATTTATGAATTCAACAAACCTTTACTGAGCTGCTACTAGAAGATAAACCTTTGAGCTACCACTAACTGGAGGTGAAAAAAAAAAACAAAAAACTTTACTGAGGTACTACAGGACCCATCAGGAATGAGAGAATGATTTTCATGGTCTCTAACATCATCTCAAATTCAGTCAAGTGGGAAAAATAAGAGATACATGATAATATAACATGGTAAGGTCCTTAACCAAAGTAGAAACAAAGCTCTAAGGAAAGAGAGACGGAGCCTGGCAGGGTGGCAGGTGAGAGGGGCAAGGGTGGGCAGAGCACATCATTCTCTCTCCAGGAATTCTGCAGGTCTGGGTGACAACACAGCTGACTCGAGTGAGCAGCCTTGCTGAGCATTTCCTTAGTGGGTGACCTTGTTCAAGTTTCTTAACCTCTCTTTAACCTTTATTTTACATAGTAGTATTTATCCTTGTGAGAATTAAATGAGATGATGCTTATAAGTCCACTCGCCTCAATTCCTGGCACTATAAACATTCTCAAAATGGTAGCTCTTTATCGGGGGCGGGGGGAGGATTTTTTGACTAAAGATAGCTTGTAGGAGAGGATGAATAGGATGATTGGCACTCACCTTGAATGTCTCAGAAAGATAAGCATTGATGAGGCAAACACTTAGCATCTTGTGACTTGGGTATAGCCAAGTGAGGGTATAATGAGGGCTTTGCCAGCTCCGTCAGTCTCAGTATGGCTTTCTCAATTAAACTACCACTCACCCATACCCATACTTCCCAAAATGTTGTTTTTTTATGGGCATCCACAGTTATGCCTAAATAGAGATAGGAATTAAGGCAATTTATAACAACCTAAAAACAAACTCAGTAGATTCTACAATAAATCTGCACTGAAGTTTTATAAATCTGGGCAGAGCTTTTACAAAACAATAACAATCACTGTCTCAGATGGACAGCAATTGGATGGGAAAAAGCAGTTGGATGGAAATAAAAACAGGTTCTGAACCTACTAGATTTTTAGGAAGATGTGGGAGGGTATGGCCAGGATCTTTTTTTTTTTTTTTTTTTTTTATAACTTGCCAAACTACAAGTATAACTTAGTCTAGGGCACCTGGGTGGCTCAGATGGTTAAGCGTCTGCCTTCGGCTCAGGTCATGATCCCAGGGTCCTGGGATCAAGTCCCACTCATCGGGCTCCCTGCTCCTTGGGAGCCTGCTTCTCTCTCTCTCTCTCTCTCTCTCTCTCTGTCTCTCATGAATAAATAAATAAATAAAATCTTAAAAAAAATAGCTTAATCTAGCCCATGGATGTAGCACAATTTTCCAAGTCTCAAGTTATGCGACTTAAGCCAAAAACCTATTTCCAAAGATAACAAACTGGATGCACCTTGCAATTATATACAATAACCCATTTGATCCTTACAACATCGATATGGATGTTGTCATCCCCAGCTGGTCAGTGGCAGAACAGGGATTTGAATTTGGGTAATTTGACTTTCAGGTCTGCCATCTTAACTGCTACACTCAGCTGCCCAGTATATTAGGAGCCAATCTCTCAGCACCATTCAGATTTAGTCTCTTCTCTTAAGTTTAGTAGTCAGAAAACCTAGGGTAAGTATATATTCCCCCTAAGATACATACTAGGATACAAAACCTATGGGCAAGTACGTAAATACGTAGAAGATAAACATTCTCTGTCTATCTGAGTGTACAGGTTAGGTACACTCACTTTGTATCTATCAGCCCTCAGCCCCTGGGTCCTTTAACAAAGACACTGTACATCCCATCCAGATCTCCCATACAACCAAGCTGTTAACACCTTCTGCCCATGCGAACTACCTCCCACCAAAGACTCTCATTATTGTATCTCACCTACAAAATGGAGCCTGCCATATAGCAACCTGCCTGCCCTCGCTTCCCTTCATGTCAAGATAGTTGGGGGTTGGTCTTATCGCGACCTGGGTCTCCCTAGGGTCCTTCTTGGCTCCAATTGGTCCATCTTCCCTCTCCTCACAGGCCTTTCACCAATGAGATCTCAACATGCTTTAAGGCTGAGACCTCAACATGCTTTAAGGCTGAGACCTCATGAGTTACGACCAGTCACGGGCTAAAATGTCCTATTTAAATTCAGTTTTGCTTCATTGTAAACAGCCCCATTACGAAGTAATTCTCAGAGTTATACAGTTTCCTGATAGAAATAGAATTAAAATGAAGACTCCCATAACTTTTCCAATTTCATCTTGCACACATATTAATTTAATATATTTATATTCAACACAGAGTCATTTATTAAGGTTTTAATTGGATCTCAATTTTTCCCATCTAAAGATTTTAAATGAATTCCAGATATCATAAAACTCTTCTTGTCATCCACTACATAAATTATGCTTCCATAGGAGAGTGTGACTGGAAGATCCATTATACAATGTTATGGGAAAGTCATTTTTTTTTTTTACATTCTGAGCCAGAATAGGAAATGTTTTTTTTCCTAGAAACCATTGCACTATTACAGTGCAATGACCTAAGAACTTTTTCATATCCTAAAGCACATGCCTATCCTGTCAGTGTCCATGTGCTTGTCTATATTGATATCTGTGTCCAAGTATGTCTATGAATGTGCTCTTTTAGATATATGAGAATATATTGACATGTGGGTTAAGCTTCATTTCCCTCTATTTTGAATAGCAGATCATTCTAAAATGTCATCCGTTTTACATTCTCAAGACTTGAACTTACTGCTTTTTCAAAGCTCTACACAATTCTAATCCAGAATTCATCATTATCCCTGACTATACTCATACTTATCTGGGATGAACTCCAAAACAAGTTATGCATGCTTTAGGACTGCATTTTTAAAATACTATATATTTTCTCCTTCTCCCTTAATGTTCTCTCTCAACTTCATCTCAGCTCTACTCTTCCTATTGGAAGTTCTTATCTTTTCTCAATTTTTTTTTCAAATGAACCAAAAAGGAAAAAAAAAAATCTGTTTTTAATTAAGAAAAAATCTGAAATTAATGTTCTTTAATGTTCTAGGTTTTAACCAGATTTATTTTTCTTAAACAATTCCCCCCTAAGATCTTTTAAAAATATAATCAACTGAAAGTAAATATGGCTGGAAGCACTGGCAGGTAGTTGGAATTTGATTTGTATTGGATTTCTCTAAGGCCATTGAAGGCTCCATTATTAATTGAGTCTGATATTTCTTAACCATGTTTCTTAGAGTTTGTTTTCTTTTTATTGTGAGGTTCTTCCCATGTGTGTTTCTGTACACTCTTCTTAGATTTCACCTCTTAGTGAGGTTTGATGACATACTGTCTTAAAATATTAGAGTGGAAATCTAGTATTTGAAATGCATCCATGGTGAA